CTCTCCTGGAGACCGGGGAGTTCAGTCCCGTGTGGAGCGGTGGCCAGCTGTCCCGAACCCCTGGGCTCCAATCCTGGGTGAAGTGTGTGCTAGCCGCACTGGGGAATGGGGCCGACTTCGGGCGGCTCAGGGATGGCCACGAGCAGCGTGGGTGCCGGCCGTGCCATGAAGCGGGAGGCTGTCGTCCGCCGGCTTGGGGACAGGCCGTGTCGGTGACCGGGGTTCTCTGTCCCGTGTGGAGCGGTGCCTGGTCGTCCCGAACCCCTGGGCTCCGGTCCTGGGCGACGTGTGTGCTAGGTGCACCGGACACCGGGGCCGACCTAGAGCGGCTTGGGGACGTTGGTCGAGGGTGCGGGAGTTCGGCCACGTGTTGCACAGGGGGCCGTCTGTCCCATGTTAAAGGGGTCCGTCCTCGGGCGCCATTGGTGTCGGCCGTGCCGTGAAGCAGGAAGCTGTTTTCCGCAGGCTCGGGGACTGGCCGTCCAGATCCCTGTTTACTGTCTTGTGTGGAGCAGCGCCCGGCTGTCCTGAGGCGATAGACTGCGGTCTTGGGCGACGTGTGTGCTAGCCGCACCGGGGTACAGGGCCGGCCTCGAGCGGCTCAGGGACGGCGATCCCTGAAAATGGGTGTCTGGCCATGAGCAACGTGGATGTCTGCCTTGCCATGAAGCGGGTGGCTCTCGGCCGGCGGCTCGAGGACTGGCTGTCCTGGAGACTGGGGGGTATTGTCCCGTGTGGAGTGGCGGCCTTCCGTCCCCAAGCCCTGGGCTCCGTCTTGGGCGAATTGTGTTCTACCCGCACCGGGATCCGGGGCAGACCTCGACCGGCTCCTGGAGGGTGGTCCCGTATGCGGGAGTTTGGCCATGGGCTGCGCGGGGGCTGTCTGTCCCGTGTTCTGGGGGTCCGTCCTCAGGCGCTGTGGGTGTCGGCCATGCTGTGAAGCAGGAGCCTGCCGTCCACCAACTCAGGGACTGGCCTTGCCGTAGACCGGGTTGGTTTGTCCCGTGCGAAGTGGCGCCCGGCCGTACTGAATCCCTGGGCTCCGGTCCTGGGTGACGTGTGTGCAAGCCACTCCGGTGTCCAGGTCCAAGCTCGGGCAGCTCGGGGACAGCGATCCCTGAACACAGGTGTCCGGCCACGAGCAGCGTGGGTGCCATCTGTCCCATGAAGTTGATCTTTATCAGCTCTGTGTACATTGAAGGGCTCCTACGGAAGAAAGGTTTTTCTTGGCACGGATGTCAAAGAATCCATCTCCAACTGAAATGATACAGAACAAGTTTTGACACAGAAACAGAAGTAACAAGTCAAAAGGCTAAGGCAGCATTTCACTAAGGAGTTCTGAAGGAGCTCATGGATAAGCTATGTTTTCACTTTTCACACTTGAAATTGTCTGAATTGAAACAGATGACTTGAAACGTGACTAATATGTTTAGTTAGGGTTGTTCAGAAAGAGCGAACACAGAGAGTCCAGCTGCATGTGGGGCTGTGTAAAGGCTCACCTGGGGAGTTCAGTTGTACACAAAGGCTTCCTTTGGGGGCAATTTTTGATGGGCGAAAGGGCCTTTTCTGGGGTCCTATTTTAAATTCCTCTCAGATTCCGCCCAGGGATATATTTAGGGTTGTTCAGAAAGAGGATACAGAAATATTTCTACATAAAGAGCAAGAAATACCCTAATAAAGCCCAAATCTTCATATATAAAATGCCTGGAAGCATCACTTTTTCATGAGAAACAGCAAACCCCTTCACAACATTGTATAAAATTGATTTTTGGCATGGAGGAAAGTGTTAAAAAAAAGTCAAGCTTTACTGATGAAATACTGTCCTTTGACAAAACAAAAGATCTGACTATTTCATCATAGAAAACTAGCTTCTTGGTAGTAAAACTTCAGCCCGCTCCATTTAGAAAAATATATTTACTTGGAGCAATTAATTCTATTGTTGTAAAAAAATTCTATTGTTGTGTAAAAGCAGATAACAATTAATTCTGATGCCAGCACAGGAATCTTTGTGTAGTCAGAAAGAAAATCAGGGCACGGGCTTCTGCCTGTAATGAGGAAATCTGCAGGTGCACTACAGAAACAGCATTCCCTTTGTGGAGAAATACAACGTGTTTTTGACTTCCAAGTTTATGGAAGATTTGAAAGCTTGTATTTTCTTATAAAAAGTCCTTCTACTCAACGATTCTTAATGTCAAAACAGTTTTCAAGTTTCTCTTAAAAAAAAAAAATGTGCAAGGACAGGTCAGAGAAAAGAAAACAGCACATTCTTGTTACCTGTTCTTTATAGAGTAACCATCATTCCTCAGTGAATAAAACACAGCTCCACCATTTCAAGGACAGACTGCACTTGCGTTGTCTGGAAAGACCTTGTCTAAAAGCTTTTTTTTTTTTTTTTTTTAATAATGAAAAAACAAAATGAGTCATTTACATCATCAAATTCTTCTTTCTACATGATGCACACTTGTAAAACAGCTCAAAATATTAGTAACAGCAATTAACTGAATGCCACTTTCATTCAGGTACTTCAATTATAAGAAGCTCAGAATAAATAATACTTTTTTACTTCATTTTCAGCCTGAAGCTCTCATTGATTACCTACCTTTAGAATGCCACAAAAAGTAATGTTTCATGAACTGAGATAAGAAAACATATGTCAAAGATGTAAGCATCACCGAATCAGGCTAAGCAAGCCAGAACAACATGGGATCTATAAAGATTAATCACCAATACTTCCAGGCACATTTTACTACTAGAAGCAGTGTTTGTGACATTCCTACAGAGCTCACAGATCTGTAAGAAAAGGTGAGGTAAGGAACAGTCTGTCTGTCTTTATATGATGTCCTCATCATATAAAGTCAGATGGAACGGATAGCTAGATGGTGAGCTCTCCTTTCTGTTTGCTACAGTATCAGGATCTGAACTAGTGGAAAGATGATGACTCTCAGAAAAGCTTTCAAAAGAGGCTGAGATTATTCTGCAAAGATGAAGATAAAAGTTACTGAGAAACAATACACAGGTAAGGGCAAGCAGGGTCAGTGGCTATTTCTGCATACAATCAAGTTATCCTAAAGGCAGAGACAAACCATTAAAACTGAATTTCTCTCTGTTTTACTCTGCTTCCACACCAGGCTAGCACTGAACCAGAGCCTTGATAACAACTCATATTAAAACAGAGATTACATACATCAGATTATTGCCCGAAGGTAATGTTAATGAATGCTCCCCTCCATACAATTTTCAAATAGTGGAATAAATATAATAAAGTTTTACATTGCAGTGGATTGAAAAAAAATAATTTCAGTCTACTGTATCTTGGCTGAATTCTGCTGCTACTTATCACAAATGCAGGTTATAAAAACAATGAAAAAAACACAATGGCAGGGGGTCTGGTATGCAGATACAAACAGACATATGCAGTAGTGTTTCTTTACAAAATTTATTTTGGAGATAATGAGACACGAGGATATGAAGAAAATAGCAAGTGAGTCTGCACAGTGCAGATGCTGTAAGCCTGATGATTGTCTCAACTGCACCAGGTCCCCACAAAGTCCCATTTAGTCTTGCTTTGCTCATAACATATCTTTAGCAAGAGGTATAACCATTTCAGTACTGATAGTATTCAGATACTCTAATACACATTAGGATGAAATTCTCAGTAGTATAAAAGGGCCTCAGTCAGTCTATACTGAACTAAGATTAGAGTAAAAAGGTTGAGAAACAATCAATTCCCAAAATACTTACAGTCTAACTTAGGTTATTTTCTAAAGCCCATATATTTACCTGTCGCTACTAGTTGATCTTACCGCTCCCTGCTTGGGATCTGACTGTCTTCGAGGAGCCTTTTTTTGCTTCTGTGCACCTTCTGTCTTGGGAATAGGTTCATTCAAAAGGCCTTAATAAAGGAATAAAAGTCTTAATACTCTCAAAAGGAAATGAAACATTCACAAAAAACATTGTGATCTCTCTTGATGGTTTTCATTACTAACTAAAAAGTTCCTAGCTGGCTTAGAATATGGTTACAATAGAATCATCATAGAATGGCTTGTGTTAGAAGGGATCTTAAAGATCATCTAACTCCAACCCCCCTGCAATAGATAGGGACGCCACCCACTAGATCAGGTTGGCCAAAGCTCCATCCAGCCTTGCCTTGAACACCTCCAGGTATGGGGCATCGACTTCTCTTGGTTACATGTTCCAGTGCTTCACTACCCTTACAGTGAAGCATTTCCTCCTAGTCTAATCTAAACCTATCTTCTTTTAGTTTAAGACCACTTCCCACATTCTATCATTATCTACCCGAGTAAAGAGTCCTTCTCCATCTTTTTTACAAGACTCCTTTAATTATTGAAAGGTCACAGTGAGGTCCTCCCTGTAACCTTCTCTCCTCCAGGCTGAACAGTCGCAGCTCTCTCAGCCTTTCTTCATAGGAGAGGTGCTCCAGTCCTCTGATCATCTTTGTAGCCCCTCCTCTGTACTCGCACTAACAGGTCCAAATCTTTCTTGTGCTGGGGGTCCAGACCTGGATGCAGTACTCCAAGTGAGGCCTCAGAAGGGCGGAGTAGAGGGGGGACAATAATCCCCTCCCTTAACTGGCTGGCCACTCCTCTGTTGATGCAGCCCAGGATGCAGTTGGCCTTTTGGCCTGCAAGTGCACGCTGCTGGTTCATGTCGAGCCTTTTGTCCACCAGAATTCCCAAGTCCTCCTCTGCAGGTCTGCTCTCAATGAGTGCTTCTCCTAGTCTGTCCTCATATCTGGGATTTCCCTGACCCAGGTGCAGAGCCTTGCACTTGGACTTGTTGAACCTCATTAGGTTCACGTGGGCCCACTTCTCCAGCCTGGAACTTCACCTGAAATGCAGAAGGAAAAAATAACGTTACACTTTCATACCAGTATCAGTTCTAAATACTTCCAATGAAAAGTTATACAGAAAAGTTATAAACATTATGTGGGGTGCTTTTTAACCCAAGTAACAAAGATCTTCCTTGTACTGCATCTTTCACTATAAATAGGCTAGGAGGAGGAAGAAATAAGTCCACATTTTGCAGACTGACAACTTGGCTTACTGAGAAAAAGCATATTGCCTGTCTTAAAAACTGAAATTCAGATTCCTTTCTCTTTTCCTCTTCTGTCAACAGTGCAGCAGCAGATTTAAATACGTCTAAATGAACAAGATCTACATACATCTTGCATTATCTAGTTGGTGTTCCTTTGTTTCTGTATTATTTATCCCTGTAGATCGATTGTTCACAGATCATGTTACACCAAATTTACTGTGCATTTATTAACTTTAAATTTATTAACTCTTTTGAGACTAGAAATACTTCTTGCCTTTAGTTTTCATTAGTTTAATTAGCTATCATAAATTAATTAGCTGTTCATAAATGAAAGGAATGGCATATGTGAAGTCTGAAAGTTTTCCCACAATTTTATACCTCTTTTTGCTTTATAGTCTTGGCCATATTGCCAAAGGCTCATTAAGGTAGTGAAGCTTAATTCTTCCCCTCCTACAGACATGATTTCTTCAAAACAGTGCTGCTGTGCATTCAGAAGAGGTACTACGGGGCAAAAGCTCAGCCAGGTGTTTCAGATCTCTGGATAAGGTTTCCATCTTCCAGACTCTCAGCCATGAAAACAAAATCTTTTAACTGATTGATTTCATTTTACTAAAGATAATAATCAAAGCTTCAAGCAGCCTGGAAACCATGTTACCTTCTCAAGAAGAAAGAGGACATTCTGGTATTTCATAAGCCGTCAGTGCTTGAGGAGAACTTGAACTCATTTCCTTAGAACTGCTATGAGATGATCCCCTTATTGCAGCAGTAGCTTTCAAATAAATATCTGACTGAAATCACAAAGAACTCATCATTAGTACAGCAAAAATTTCTTAAACACTTGCTGAAGAAGAGCTTAAATGTTTGTCCACTATGTTCTATTGCCACTGTTGCTGTATTGCTGCTAAGTTAACTACAGCTGGCCACAGAAAGGCTATCTCACTGTAAATGGGGAGAACTTCTGTGATGTTCAGAAGAGCATTTGCCCTGTAAATAATCAAATACTTCAGCTCTGCATTACTGCAAGCAATAAAGGACAGTTAGATCAATTCTGATTCTCACTGTACTCACTACAAGCTAAGATCAGACAAATTAACAGTTAATGCAAATCAGAAAATGTGTCAGTTTTGGTTTGGTTTGGGCTTCAGCAACTCTTTATGTGAATTAGGTCCCAACACCTCACAAATAGTCAAACATGCTTTTCTCGTGTCTTACCCTTGATGCTACAAGCTGAAGCTCAGGCACAACTGCTGTGTGGACTAAGTTTCCACTCACCACTAATCGGATCTCAATGGAATCAGTAGTGAAGGCAAGGATAGAAGGGAAAGCACAGACTGCAATGAAACAAAAATTATTTTGCAAGGAAGAATGATTAATGTAAATGTTTCTCAGATGCTCCCTGAAAACAATTCTTGAGTATCTGACCTACTCTGGTATCTCCCTTTCCTGTGACAAAATTTGTCTACTGTACTGATGGACATTCAGATACAAGCCTGAAGAAAACTTCACTCTCCATGCCTGGCAGAATATAAACTGAATGGAAAATAAAAAACAGAAAAAAGAGAAAGGAAAAAAAAAAGTTTATCAGAGGAAAAACTTGGCCCCAAGGCTCCACTTATTAAAGATACCATATGCAGAATCTTAGCTGAAGTGGCATCATGAATGCAATATGCTTAGAGAATCACAGAATCATCTAGGTTGGAAAAAAACTTCAAGCCCAACAATCAACCTGACCTACCAAGTTCCATCATTATGTCCCTTGGTGTTGCAGGAAGCACGGCTGAAAGCACGACAGACACCAGTAGAGTCAGATCATGCTCCATTTTATTGCCCGAACAGCCTAACTTTTATAGTGAACTTAACAGGGGTGGATAGTGTTTCACACAAAATTATTGGTCAAAAGCACTCAGACAAATAACTACAAGAAAACAACCCCACCTGCAAGAAAACAACCCCTCTTGTGATTAGCAGTCATGTAGACCTTGTCCTTGAAGCCAGAGGCTGGTAACAATATTTTTCTAAATTCCTCAATTGGGCGATGTGGGAACACTGTCATGGGAACTTCTCATAGTTGCCCTGGTAGCTTGGTTTTCTCAGCTGCAGCAAGCCATGGGATTTTTGCTGTTTCAAAAAATCCTTCAACACCTTGGTGTTATGTCAACACCTCTCCAGGGATAGGGATTCCACCACTTCCCTGGGCAGTCCATTCTAATGGTTAACCACCCTCTCCATGAAGAAATTCTTATTTATAGGAATTTATTAACCCATATTTATTAAATTTTATTATATTAAAAATAGATGTATGTATGTTAAATTATTTTTAATTTTATATTTATTCTTATATATTCCTAGCACACATGCTGCAATTCCACCAACAGCCAAGTGCAAGCCTAAACAGTAATGAAAAAAGGGTAAAAGAGGTATGTTCTTACCAACAGCATAAGGAACTTGATTCCAGCAAAAGTGAAAGTCGTAAGCCGATGACTGGACGAGTGGAGAACCTCCATTAAAAGGATACACCTTTCTATATTGGCAAACATATGTAACAAAAAAAGGAAAAAAAGAAACCTCCAATATCTTACAGCACAAATGACAAACACCAACATTATGGGTAGATTTTACAGAAGTGTGGATAATACACAGATAAATATCAAACACTTATGTAGAAGTCCCTCTATATCTAAACAGACCATAAGGGAAACGTGCTTCCTTTGTGAATACATTTACAAGATAAAAATAGTAGTGCTACATTTTAATAACTTGTCAGATTTCACAAAGTAAGTATTGTTCTGTTTCAGCAATCATCAGCTCCTTACTTTGTCTATGGATGGAGGAATAGTTAAGAACATTTCTGAAAGTGATGTAAGCAGAGCTGTACCCCTCTGACTGTAAGAACTACCCTTCAAGCAGCCACATACTAGCACAGTTTGTGTTCTTTGAGGATTGTAATACCCATGGGATACTACAGATACCAAGATTTCATTAATCATATAACTTGTGAATCTACTACTTCTCTATTTTTAGGTAAAATCTCTCTCTTTTTTTTTTTTCTTCTGTAATCGCTGTCCTTAAACTTAAACTAACTTTATATCCACAAGTGTAAAAAAAAGGTCTTGTTTGAAATCCCAACTTAGAACACTGTCAAATCATGTGTTTTCATACTTGTTCCATGATGATACTTTCATAATTGTAAAACTGTCACAAGACCATAAGAGGTTTCCCTGTGACAGGGCCCTACAAATAGGGATTCAAGTTGCTGCAACCCTGTGCAACAGGCGTTAGGACCTTAGGATCAACCAAGTTTGTTAGCTTTGGCTCTGTGACGAGCCTACTAGAGTAGGACTGTTCTGCACAGAAGTACAGGTTTGGGAATTCACATTACTCTGTCTCAGACCTTTTAGTTCTGAAGCAGTACTGAGTGAACCAGAACTAGGTAGGATTTGTTAAACTACCGAAACCAATGAGGCCTCACAGAGCATACAAAGATACACTTTAGAGACTTTTTCCCTGTGGTACCAATCTAACGGCCAATGCTAGAATACGTAGATGTATTTATCCTGTTTCCATCAATGCTCTCTTTGGAAAGGCAAATAGGGCATGCTATCTGAAACAGAAAGTTGTGCTTTGTCCTTCAGCATCACCTCATAAAGGACGTTTCATACTCATTACTTTGATTTTCCTGAGAACTGAAAGCTACATGTGTACAGCACAGAAGAGCATATCCATATGAAATCCAAGGCCGTTTTATAAAAAGAGATTAAGAGAATTACAATTTTAAAATGTGCCAGCACAAAGAAGTGTGCAGAAGGAAAGAAAGCACAATGACAGAATGGGAAAGCACAAAGAAGAAAAGGGGTGGAATACTAATTTGTACATGTCCTAGAAACACCCAGTGTGAGACTAAGCAAAGAATAAGATAGATCTGAAGAAACAGGACTTTTGTGAGTAAGATGGTAATGTCTGTCCAACTACACACACCACAATAAAACAGTACTTCCATTTCTAGTCCTTCTAATATGCACTTAAATTGAAAAAAAAAAAAGTATTTTGAAATACTTTCCATGAAACACTGAAACTTTAAAATACAGATCTAAACTCCAATGAAGAATCATAGAATCATAGAATATCGTGAGTTGGAAGGGACCCTTAAGGATCATCAAGTCCAACTCTTGACACCGCACAGGTCTACCCAAAAGTTCAGACCATGTGACTAAGTGCACAGTCCAATCTCTTCTTAAATTCAGACAGGCTCGGTGCAGTGACCACTTCCCTGGGGAGCCTGTTCCAGTGTGCAACCACCCTCTCTGTGAAGAAACCCCTCCTGATGTCAAGCCTAAATTTCCCCTGCCTCAGCTTAACCCCGTTCCCGCGGGTCCTGTCGCTGGTGTTAATGGAGAAAAGGTCTCCTGCCTCTCGACACCCCCTTACGAGGAAGTTGTAGACTGCGATGAGGTCTCCCCTCAGCCTCCTCTTCTCCAGGCTGAACAGGCCCAGTGCCCTCAGCCGTTCCTCGTACGTCTTCCCCTCCAGGCCTTTCACCATCTTCGTAGCCCTCCTCTGGACACTCTCCAACAGTTTCATGTCCTTTTTATACTGTGGTGCCCAGAACTGCACACAGTACTCGAGGTGAGGCCTCACCAGTGCAGAGTAGAGCGGGACAATCACCTCCCTTGACCTACTAGCGATGCCGTGCTTGATGCACCCCAGGACATGGTTGGCCCTCCTGGCTGCCAGGGCACACTGCTGGCTCATATTCAACTTGCTGTCTACCACGACCCCCAGATCCCTCTCTTCTAGGCTGCTCTTCAGCATCTCATCGCCCAGTCTGTACGTGCAGCCAGGGTTTCCCCGTCCCAGGTGCAGGACCCGGCACTTGCTCTTATTGAACTTCATGCGGTTGGTGATCGCCCAGCTCTCCAACCTATCCAGATCCCTCTGCAAGGCCTTTCCACCCTCATTCGAGTCCACAACTCCTCCAAGTTTGGTATCATCAGCAAACTTGCTCAAAATACCTTCTATTCCTACATCCAGATCGTTTATAAAAATATTGAAAAGTACCGGCCCTAAAATGGAGCCTTGAGGGACCCCACTGGTGACAGCCCGCCAGCCTGACACAGCCCCATTTACCATAACCCTTTGGGCCCTGCCCGTTAGCCAATTGCTCACCCATCGTATGATGTTTTTATTTAGCTGTACGGTGGACATTTTGTCCAGTAGGATCCTATGGGAAACTGTGTCAAAAGCCTTGCTGAAGTCCAAAAAAATCACATCAGCTGGTGAAAGAATTACATGTTGAAATATTATCATTACATGTTGAAATATTATCATTTCCAGCCTTCCCTAACTACTTACAGTTATAATATAACAGTAGGCCAGCTTCACCATCTTCATATACATCAATAGCTGCAACAAAATTTACCTGCAATGATAATAGGAAAGGGTAATGATCAGGCAGATAGGATACTGATGTTACTATGACCAGGTTTTGACTAAGAAGCAATCAAATCAGTTGGTGCACAATTACAGATAAAAGAAAAAAATATATATTTCTTTTTTGTGATTCATTTTCAGGATGCCAATAGGATGGAAATCAATTTCTTTTGTATTCAATGCTGTATTTCAGTAATGCATATTCAATTTTGTACCTTCAGTATAAATACATACCTACAGTATAAAATGATACAAACATACCTAACTTACTTGACAATATAAATTTTGGGAAACTGAGTTATTTCAGGGTAGCTTTGAATTAACATGCTATGCTAAAAATAGCAATTCTTTCCAAAAAGTGAAATCTAAAAAGCTCGACTGAAAATCATGACTAGCAGAAAGATCAAAAGTGCCAATTACTGGATCAAAACCACTAACAGGTACATTGATTGACGTGGATGTACTTCAAGAATTACTGAATAAGCTGAATTTAGAAACTGAGAACCACTGATGGATAAACTAAAATGGTTTTTGCATAGTATAGGCTACTTATATTCTCATACGTTAATCCTGTCTTTGTCTTTTACAGTTAAATTAAAAGAAAAACAAGACACCCATAAGTAGTAGTATATACATTCAGAAAAGGAGACCATCCTGATGAAATACTTAAGACTGGATTAGACAAATGTCTCCTAGACCACACTATTTGCTACTTGGGCAGGGCTGGAGATTGACTTCATGAACTTCATGGCTTTCTTTTGTGCAATAAAGTAGGTGTTCTCTTGATTTAAGACAAATATAAGGCAAGAACTGTTAAACAGACCTGGAAGCTTATATATATCTATACAAAACACTTTTTGACCCATCCTTTGTAGCAACTGAAAGACATTTCTGCTTTGTGACCTGTGGAAATAATTTGGTAACCAATTTCAACAACACAAAAATCACTAGCACAGATCTAATTAACTTCCTGCTTTGTCTGTGTTCTCAAAGGAAATAAGGGTTACTGGGGAAGAGAACAGAGGGGGGCGATTCTTGACTGTCCACATTCTTTAATTGTATTTCCTTCTTAATCCAGATTAAAATAGATTCCCATTGCTGTGGAGAATCTTAACACTGTATTGCCAATGCTAGGAGTACCAACCCTCTTCATCATCAAATCTGAATAAAAACACAGATGATTTAAAAAAAAATCAACAAGAAGCATCAAATCAAAAGAGACGTCCCTTATACCATTATGAGCAGAGAAGTCAACAGAACACAAGAGTAACCCTGTAAAAGATTCTTCTTTTTTTTAAAATTATGCTTAAAGCTATACATTCACATCCATATTAAGAAATTATTGAAATTATTTGATTTTCAAAATGCTGAAGATCATTATCTTCCCAGCAACAGGAAACATTTGAACCCTTTTCCAAAAATCAGGATGTTTACTTAAATCCCAACCCTATGTCCCAGTTAGTAAGATACAGTTAATGTATTACTTGGCTGGGCAGCAGTTTAGAACTAAAAGATACACACAAATATTTCAGTTTTAGTACATGCAAATAGGCAAATCTGAATGAGATAATGGTGGCCAAAACCTGAAATTATTTTGCTGCAACCTCCTAAAGAATAAAACACTGAGACCATGAAGAAAAGACAAAAATCAAAATACTGACTAAGGAAGGAGAAAAAATGGCTTTGCATTTATACTGACAACAATATTCCAGAGCTTGAAACACATGCTCTTTCCTAATATGTCATACCTTATAACTACCTCTCTTAGGAGTGACTATTATCACACATTCCAAAAGGAAAAAATGCCTCCGAGTACTCTAAAGTAGAAGTTAAAAAAGTGAAAAGTAAAGGAGAAGAGAGGATCTCCGTAAATGCTGCTCCCAGGAGGTCAGCACAGCATGGACCTATTCTGCAAGAAAATAGTTTAAATGCTAGAAATTTACTTTGTTTGCTTCAACATGATGCAGTCTATAGGACTCCCCAATACTTTCATTAACTAAATCAAACTGATGCCGATACGCCACACAGATCATATTGTCACTGTCTCCAGTAGGTCCATCCACCAGTGTCATAACCACTGGAGGGTCAGAAAGGCGTATTTCCTATGAGATAAATAATAGTATTATTCTCTTTTTCAGGCTCTTAGTGTGAATATTGAACTACTCCATGAATTTACAAGGATGTAATCTAAGCAGAGAAGCATGATACAAAACAAGATGACAATTTAAGAAGTCTGAAATATTTCTTTGGCATATCAATGATGGATCTCCATCGTATTGCTTCTCACTTACATCTGTCTGGAGGTTCCAGATGATAAAATGCATGCTCTTTGCCTTTTTCCTCCACTAGCTGAGTGCTGCCCAGTCTGTAAAAGTGATTAGTGATTAGATTACACATACCCAGATGTACTGGAACTCGTCTACTGGAGATTCAGGTAATGACAGCAGAGAGCTACTGGTTAAACTGTTGCATGGATTGTATTTCTTTGTGATGAGAAGTAGTTTGTTCCCAATAGCCACAACAATCCTCAGTTCACTGCCATGGTGAGTATTAATGGCATACAAATGGCAGCCTAAGAAAAAAAAAAACAATTTAGGTTGTAAGTATTTGGGGTAAAGACTGTTTTTTTTTATTTTTTAATTTTTGTTCTGTATTTGTATGATGGTTAGTACAATGGGTATCTGATACCTGAGCACCACACAATTACAAACATCCCTACAGGATAATATTAAATTCTAGAAAAAGACAAAAGGCAGTAAGTCTTTTGAAAACTATTTTCCCCCTTACTCCTTTTGCAAGTAAAAGAGTAAATATATGTTTTTTTCTTTACTATTCTGTAGTTTCCAGCTTTCCAAGGAAGCTTGATGCTGAATATCGGAAAATGTTTACATCTACTAAAATAATCTGCAATACCCAAACTATTCTAAGCATTACTAATTAAAAAAGATTTGCCATTGTTCTTCTACCTCACAGTGACCTTTATTTCAGTCTTACATCCATGCGTAATTTTTCTTATACCCCTCAATCCTGAAAGCAACATATCTGTTTTTCACCAGAGCTTTTCATCAGCAGTGATTGCCAAGTAACATGGTATTTTTTTACCAAGTTCTCAAATGATAGGCTGGACTGTACCCTATGTTATTTTCACACATAAGCTTAAAGTTTGAATTAACTGTCCAGGGATAAAACTAAAGGTGAATACCTACAACAGCCTCAAGGGAGCTAATAAACCCTGGCAACTACTGGCACAATACCACAGTGGACACTTTTAATACAAGATAATAAAGCTACCTTTTGTTCTCTCCAATTTATTTTCTCTGCAGTCATATTTGCTTCTTATCATCTGCTTTGTTTCTATATCTTTTTGGACAGCACTCAATCTGAAGACAAGGAGACGAGAGTCTTTTCCTGAAGATGGAGAAAGTCAGGAAACAGCAAATTAGAGAAAGACAGTGGTGGTTTGAAATTAATACTTCCAAAGAGATGAATCACCTAACAGACAGCATTGCCATAAAAGCAAAGTTAAACAATTTTGCTTCTCTGAGTGTAAGCAGCAATGTGACAGGAAGACTGCTTGTGAACTCTATCTAGACTCTACAGTTCCAGTAAGCAACCCTTTCAGTTCACTAGCAGAGTTTCCCATCAGATGGTGCTGTGGCATTAAATAATAGGAGCCTCAAAACAGTGAAACCTACACTGCTAGGAGACGGTGAAAATACAACAGATACAAACTAAAGGCAAGAGAAGAAGGGTTAACTTTAAATTCTGGAACCATCCAGCCTAGCAGCTGATACCTGGATCCTTAACAGAGTCTGAAAACCTTTTGGATGCGGACTGGTTTTGCTTATCAGTTCTTCAAAGTTAGGCAAGTTAGGTTCAAGGCATATTCCAACTGCAAAAATAGCACAGCATCCACCACCACGGCTAAATGTTTTTTTCCACAAAGATAGACATGAGTGGAATACACAACTCTGAAATTTAAAATAAATAAATAAATAAATGACACACTACTATTTGCAGTTGGAAATAAGCTATTGTTAAGAGTAGTTTCTTAACTAAAAGCCAAGTTTCTTAAAATGGAAGTAAAACAAGATTTTCTGACAAAAGTATACTCTCTTACTAGTCTAGCTGGTATAGCTGGAAACATAAGCACGCTTTCTTAATATACATGTATAGTCAGTGTAGATCCAACCATAAACACAAAAGCAAGACCACATGTGCTGCCTTCAATTCTGATAATAGATAAACATGAATCCAGCTTCTGGAAAAGTGTAAGAGAAAAGAAGATGCAATGTTTCCTTATGTCCACCACAACTTGAAACACTGATCAACCAGCAAATTCTTACTGTCAACACCGATAAAAGGAAAATGAAATATATGCAATCTCTCTCTTTTCAAGAACGTACATACAAGAATGCGTGCTTCCATGAATGAGTTCATGGAGGAAGAATGGCAAGCAAAATTCACCCTTTTGAAAGGAAGGCTAGAAAACATAAGCTAAATCAAATGTTCAAGAACAGCGTTACTACCCATTAATTCAGCTCTGTCTCTTTGTCAGGTGTGTCCTATAGGATGCATCCTAAAGATTGCACTCCTCAATGCGTTCCTCTTTCAGGATACTAGTTGTTTTGCAAATGTCCCAAATAACCCCACTGCGGTATTACATCTGTGGCTGCTCATGAAACTGACTATCATCCAAGCTTTTCTTTGGTGTCGTTTTTTTTAAGAGAGTTTTTCTTCACCTCCTACAGACTTGATTATTCCAAGTGAAGGAGCTCTTCCTCCTTCCCCCTCACCATGTCTAAGTGTTTCACAAAATAAGTTGTAGCAAAAAAATAAACAAACATGTTTGGAAGACAAAGTGGATCCATTTCTATAACTCATCTCTCATTACTAAGTCAAATTTAATTAACATTAGAAAAGAGAGCACTGCTACCAAAGCAATTTCTGCATCTGTCATTAATACCAGATGTATTGTTGGTGCCTGAAATATCCCCTTCTTTTGGTATGTTGACCTGAAAAATCTCATTGATAGCATTATCTTCAGTTCTAGTTTCACTGTTAACATTTCCTCTCTCCCAGAAATACAGAGGGTACTAGAAAGCAGTAGAAACAGGATTTTCTTCTGAAATGAGCTACCTTAAAGTGATCTCAAACCTGGTTGTTAGAACTGAGTGCTGGATAATACCACATTCTATATGAACATTTTCATAACACAAACATCAGTCTTTCTGCTTGAGTCTTAAAATACCAGTTCTACATCGATGCACTTGAAGTACATCAGAAGGACGCATTTAAAGTACATACAAAATTAACCTTTTAATATATTATTGTATCCTAAAAACCCATATAGTCTTTAATACCAATTTGTACATCCAATATAAGATTGCTTTTACCCATCTAACATTTAACTAGACTAAGGCATAGTCTGAAAATAAAGGGCAATGATAACTTCCACTCCAGATCTCAGTTTCACTATGGTATACAAATACAAAACAAGAGGCAAGGATACTAGCAAGAACAAAAGACCTTTCTCTCCTCTAAATGATTCAGAAAGCACTCACAACAGCAGTCAAAAATCTCTTCAACTTTTTACACAAAAACTCTTTATCAAAATATGCTTGAAGCATCATGAATTGATGCCAGTAATGCCTAATCCTGTTACCTCAAAATGGCTCGTAACATCTCTCTCTTCAGGTTTAACCAATCATCACAGCGTTTTGACTATTAAATGCAATTATCTATTCTAGAAGTTTCATAAACTAAGCTTCAGATACAACTACCCTTTTCAGATCTTCAAAAATGTCACCCACCTGCCAGGTGTCTTCAGAGATGACTGCAAATGCCTCTCAGGTAATCTCAGCTGGTTCTGCAAGGGTTCCAGGATGAATTTCATCAGGTCCAGCCAAAATGGGCAACTCCCAATGGTATGAAAGGAACCACATTTTACCCTTAGCTTGGGTAAATGTCACTTCAGCTAATATTGAGCAAACAGACATAATGTGGTAAAAACGATAAAACAACCAGATTTCTAATTATTTTATCTGTGTTACACATACAGATCCTGTTCTTGCACTGTGCGTATTCACTTCACAGACTTTTGGATAAAAAGTACATAACTGAAAAAGTGCATATTTTAGGGACATTTAATCCTTTTGAAAAGAGGGTAAAAAAAAAAAAAAGTTGTTTGGACAGACGGGTTTTAAGTTCTTTTTTTTTTTTTTTATACCAGAATATTTAAGAGAATATAATCTATAGCACTAGAATGTGGTTACACATCACAGAACAAAAACCAGTAACACATTTGGTAGAACAGTGACAGCATAAGTAATTTCCTCCATGTTTTTGTACAACTGAACAAACACATTATTCAGCTAGGGAGATTTCCAGAGTGTTGAGTTCTAAGAGTAGCTGGAGACCAACTATATACTGGTGGATGACAAATCTGACATGAGCCAGTAATGTCTACCTTCAGCCCAGAAAGTTAATCATATCCTGTGCTGCACAAAAAGAAGTGTGGCCTAGAAGGTTGAGGGAAGTGATACTCCCCCACTTCACACTGCCCCTGTAAGATACAACCTGGAGTACTGTGTTCAGCTCAGGTGTGCCCAGCACAAGAAGGACATGGACCTGTTAAAGTGGATCCAGAGAAGGGTCACAAAAATGATAAGAGGGCTGGAACACCTACAAGAAAGGCTGGGGAAGCTGTGTTCTTTTAACCTGGATAAAAGAAGGCTCTGAGGAGACGTTATTGTGGCCTTTCAATACTTAAAGGAGGCTTATAAGAAAGAGAGAGACATTTTACAAGGGCACGTAGTGACAGCACAAGGCTTAATAGTTTCAAACAGAAAGACGGTAGATTTAGCGAAGAATTTATTCCTTTTATCTAATCTATGAGAGTGGTGAGGCACTGGAACAGGTTGCCCAGAGAAGATGTGGATCTTCTTCCAGAGAAGATGTGGAACACATCTCCTGAAGTGTTCAAGGTCAGGCTGGATGAGGCTTTGGGCAACCTCATCTACTGAAAGATGTACCTGACCATGGCAGGGAGGTCGGACTAAAAGGTCTTGAAAAGTTGTTTCCAACCAAAACCATTTGATGATTTAATATGGCCAGTTTCAGGTTTGCTCTGAAGCATGATTCTGAGCATCTAGAGATTTTTTTCCACACCTTTTAGAAAAACAAGCAAACAAACAACAAACAGTACTTGTTGTATGCACTCCCTTATTCTAAATGAGGCATCTAATGCACTTGCCACTGATAAAAACATGATTACCTCAAGACACTTACAAACCCTAAAGCCATAGGGCATGTACGTAAGCAGCCCAGGGGAAATCAGCAAAGGGAAAGTAGTGGAAAGATCTGAAAAGGAGAACAATAAACTCAGAGCTCAAAAACCTAATTACAATAATTAAGAATAGCTATGTGATGTGACAAAAGGACAAAAGGTGATTATATAAATCTAGTGCTGTGGGAATTAAAATTCTACAGCATGCTTCCAAGTTAAAAAACAAAAACAACTCTTAAAGAAAAGCACCTAAGGCATTCCCTTCTACCGATATGTCTGCCAAATAAACAGTTAAACAGACATTCAAATAAGAACCAAATAACAAGGACCTTTCCTACTTTCGTCTGTTTGGGCAATCAAAAGATCCAGAACTTCCAACACATGCATCTGCTTTATTTGGAGAGTTTTATCAAATACTTGAACTGATGGCTGACCATCTAAAAAAGAAAACACACATATTTCTTTAAAATTCTGCTAAAATTTGGTAGTCAATGGTTCTGAACTATTTCTTTCTAATAAAATAAGTCTTGTTTTTTCTCATGAAAATGAAACATTCTGCACAAAGCTCGTAAGTATGCTGCAGCATCATAACCAGTACTTCCTTATAGGAGTGTCTTATCATTGCCATGGATGAAATTATGCAACTGAAGCCTGAAAGGGACCTTTCTTTCGAAAGTCTGAAAATTTTCACTGATAACTAACTTCATTCCCTTAGTCCCAATGGCCTTATGTGGCACGCAGAAGATAAGAGGTCAAACTAGTAAAAGCACTGCTATGGAAGAAACAGGCTTTCATCACCACATAAGCCTGGTGCTTCATGTTCATTAGTATCATCAAGGGCTAAAAAATCCAGACGCTCCTTGAGTTTGGGTTTGACTTCATAAATCTTTTCAGATGGCCACGATAACAGCATCTGAAATAACAAAACATTCAGAAATCTGCACAAAAATTGGCTCAAAATAAGAATTCTGATGCAGAGAAAAAATCTGCAGCTAGATTACATAAATGTAATAGATTCACTTGGATTGGTACTCTCCTTGCAGGTGAGGACTTACCAATTACCTAAACAGAGCTTATGAACATTTATTTTGAAGAAAATGGTCAGATACATAAATAATTGACACAAGAACACAGCATCATTTACTAACCATCAATTAACAAGATGCCAGCGTCTGTAGAAACCAGCAAGAACTGGCCCCAGGAATCTGCACAGACAACTTCATGAGGAAAATTACTGCAGAAAGATTGGGACTCCCAAGGCTATGATGTAACATAAGGGATACATATTAATTATACTAAGAAATACTGATCATATAGACACTAATGAGATGTGACATGTAAGAACACGTAAATACTTTTGGCAGGGTACATTTCTTAAAAGTATATTTTTTGAATTTGAAATAACAAAATCTAATTAATTTTCTTGCAGAGAAATACTCTCCCTACCAATTGGATTTGGAGACTAACAAGTATGATACACTCTTGGAACACTGGAATTAAAACCCAAGCAGCTGATATTCAGTGCAACCCTGGAAATTTCTTATTAAACAATTAAAATACAGACTTAAAATATATGCACCACCATGCATATACAGTTTGATTTCATTTCATGGTTCATTTGTGATATTTAGACATGGTACTGCTAAAACTACCTTTCCCCCAAAATGTTCTTTTGTCATGTGTTCTCTGTACTTACCTCCTAAGTTCTGTCCCCTCTCCCCTCTCTTCTCTAATATTAAGTATTAAGCTGCAGTCTGAAATTCTACAAGCACTTCTGAAGTTTCTATATATAAGATGCACCTAGAAAAATGTAATTTACATTTTTCACTCCTATGCCTTGTAAAAAAAATGTAGTTACAGGAAATAAAAACACAACTAAATTTTGCTTTAAACTTGATAAAGATGTTAAAATAATCAAAAGATGATTGGTTATGGAAAATATTATGGTTTTTTGTTTTGTTTTATTTTTTTCTTTCATGAAATATGATCAGATATAAAAATATCCAGACTTGCATTAGCATGAGAAGTACTACTACCTTCAGGCTCATCCTTTATTCATTTGCTATGGGCTGAAGAATCACTTTAACACACTATACGTTACAACTTTGCTGCTATAGTATCTAATCAGAAAGTAAATAAACAATATATAAAACTGATATAAAGTGCTATGCTCAATTGAATTTAGCGTTTTTTTTTTTTTTTTTTGAACTCTCCTTACACAAATGGGTTCACTCACCTCCTTTTTACAGAAGCTGGTGGTTGCCAGGGTAGGTGGTGTATCCCCTTTCACAGTGGTTTTCAATTTCAGCGCCTAATACAAACAGGTATTTTAATTAAATTGAGCTTTTGTCACTAATATATAACCTAAAGCCTAAGAAGAAAGGACAACTTAGGATGACAAAGTAGTTTACAGCTTGCTATAAATATAGAATTGCTATAGAATTGCTATTACAGTTATTAAGAAAGAAGGGGAATTATCTATACCCTGAAGAAAGACTGCACTGATCACTATGGAGCTGCAGCCAAAGCCTACATAGCTTATAAAAAAAAAGGAAGCTCAAAATATGAAGTGTCCAACATAGTAATCAACAGAACGACAGCATGAAATCATAGAATGGCTTGGGTTGGAAGGGATCTCAAAGATCATCCAGTTCCAACCACCCTGCCATAGGCAGGGACACCACTCACTAGATCAGGTTGCTCAGGCCCTTGTCCAATCTGATCTTGAACCAAGGATGAGGCATTCACAACCTCTTTGGGCAACCTGTTCCAGTGCCTCGCCACCCTCCAAGTGAAGTATTTCCTCCTAACCTCTAATCTAAATCTCACCTCTTTTAGATTAAAGCCATTCCCCCTTATCCTGTCTTTATCTGATTAAGAATAGTTGTTCCCCATCTTTTTTTTTTACGTCCCCTTTAAGTACTGCAAGGTTGCAATGGGGTCACCCCGGAGCCTTCTCTTCTGTAGGTTGAAAAGCCCCAGCTCTCTTAGCCTTTCTTCATAGGAGAAGTGTTCCATCCCCTTGAGCACTTTTGTAGCCCCCCTCTGGACCCGCTCTTAAAAGATAAACATCCTTCTTGTTCTGGGGGGCCCAGACCTGGACACACTACTTCAAGTGGGGCCTCAGAAGGGCAGAATAGAGGGAGACAATCCCTTCCCTTAACCTGCTGGCCATTCCTCTGTTGATGCAGCCCAGGATTCAGTTGGCATTCTGGCCTGCAAGCATGCACTCCTGGCTCATTTCAAACTTTTCATTCACCAGAACCCCCAAGCCCTTCTCTGCAGGACTGCTCTCAAAGAGTGCTTCTCCTAGTCCGTCTTCATGTCCAGGATTGACCCAAACCATGGAGGCCATGTTGGGTGCGCAGAGCATGCCGGGAGATGCAGTTCTGGGGCACTGGACTTCCTGGAGGCCATGTTGGGTGCCCAGAGCATGTCAGGAGATGCAGTTCTCCAGCATGGGCTTTCGGGCGGCCATGTTGGGTGCCTCTTTTGTTCAAAAACACTGCTGCAAATGTCATGTAACCATCTCCTGATAAGTTGATAAACTAGTGTATCAACATCCTGCCTTCCTGTCTCATGCTGGGCCAACATGACCAAATAAAGAAAGAAGTTGAACCACAACGCCGAGGAAGACTATGGCCTTCATCTTCACGACCACCAGAGGGACAGAGACGACCCCCTAGCAACAGTGCGCGCAGTCGCAGAATATACCAGGATGTGCTGCGTAATCCTGAAATTACCAAGATATAAAAAGGGACCCTGGCGGGGGTGAGGTGCACGCCGTTGGCGGAGCCGAGACTCCCCGGCTGCCCAGCGCTGTTTTGCTTGCTGTTACTTACTCAATAAATTCCTTTCTATTATTAATGCAATGCTCTCTGAAAATTAATTACGGGGGCAACTTATAACAAATTTGGTGCTGTGACTCGGATGAAGGCAAGTTGATTGAAAGACCTTCAGAGGGGTTGCCCCGCTGATTTCAGCGGCCTTCGCTTGGACTACTTTCACTCAAACCCTTCACCGACAAACCCAAGATTCGGCAGCAAGCAAATAAAGCCAGCAACCCCTAGTAATCTTTGTGCACGAAGACCGAACGAAGACTCAGGAGTGAGTAAGTATAGGCCGGTGATCTGTTCGGTTGGGGTTGGGTATCCTGGAGCGTAGCGTTGTGAGATGTCCAATTGCGGACGAAGCGAGTGCGGACCCCTCGGTAGTGCAGTTCCCACATCCCGCGAGGGACTGGGCCACAAAAAGGGGGAAGCGATTTGTGTGTGTGTGTGAAGGCGCTCCAGAAGATGGGACAGAAGAAGAGTAAGCCTTCTGGTCCCGTGGGCAGGGTAACGACAGATGTTAGGTTACCCACTATTCCTCCAGATAGTCCTTTGGGATTAATGATCAAAAATTGGGATGATTCCCCTTTTAGGCGGGGAAGAAATAAAGTAAAAATGATACATTATTGCATTGAAGTTTGGGGTGGTAAACAGATTCGAGGAGACCACCTTTACTGGCCTGTATTTGGGTCCTTTGATGATTGGGTTTGCCAGGCCCTAAATATTTATGTGAACTCAAAGGAACCCTTTAGTTTAGAAGAGAGTGAGTATGCACATTTGTGGATCAGTTTGGAAACTCAGACCAAATTATACCCTCTAAAAGAAAAAGGAGGGGACGGGAGGCATAAGAAAAACTGAGAATTAGAGATCCCAGCCCCACCGCCTCCCTATGTTTCACCAATCCCACCTGCAGCCCCTCCGACTCCCGGGCCTCCTAATCCGCAGCCCCAGGGAGATGCCGACAGCAACTCTGACTCTAGTGCTCAGGGACCAATAACTAGGAGTCAGGCCAGAAGACAGCAGCTTAAAAATGAAGAGGGGTTGTATCCACTAAGGGAAATAGCAATGGGAGGACCACAACCCGGTATGGGATATGTGGCCATCCCCATGAACTCCGGAGATGTCCAAGACTTTAAGAAAGAAATGGGAAACCTATTGGAGGACGCCTTAGGGGTGGCAGAACGGGTAGATCAGTTCTTAGGGCCCAATATCTACACCTGGGAAGAGATGCAATCTATTTTAGGGATATTATTTACATTGGAAGAGAGAGGAATGATTAGAAAAGCTGGAATGCGAATTTGGGATCAGCAACACCAGCAAGGTCCTTCAACAGATGTTAAATGGCCATTACAGAGGCCCAATTGGGATAATCAGGACCCTATACATCGTGGCCATATGCAGGACCTTAGCACCATTATCATTCAGGGAATTAGGGAATCAGTCCCAAGAGGGCAAAACATTAATAAGGCCTTTAATGAGCAACAAAAGAAAGATGAAACACCGACAGAATGGTTGGAGAGATTATGCAAAAGTTTGCAACTATACTCGGGATTAGATCCAGGAACCCCTGTTGGAGAGGCTTTGCTAAAAACTCAGTTTGTAGCAAAGTCTTGGATAGACATTAGGAAAAAATTAGAGAAAATAGAGAATTGGCAAGACCGGGGTCTAGACGAATTGTTAAGGGAGGCACAGAAAGTGTATGTAAGGAGGGAGGATGAAAAGGAGAAGAAGCAAGCAAGAATAATGATGGCTGTGATGCAGGAGGGGCAGAGAAGAGGCGAATACAGAAAAGATTCAAAGGTGGTTCGCCAAAAACTAGAGGGAGAAGGGAAAGTGACGGGAGGATTGAGGGATGTGACTTGTTTTTACTGCAATAAGAAAGGTCATAAGAAGAAGCAGTGTCGACTGAGAATGGAGGATGAGACGATGTTTAAGGAAGACTAGGGGTGTCAGGGGCTCTATCTGCTGGGGACCCGAAAGAAAACTGAGCCCTTGATAAAATTAAAAATAGGTCCCCAGCGTGAGGAAATTGAGTTCCTCATAGATACAGGGGCTGAAAGATCTACAGTCCAAAATCTGCCTTTAGGATGTAAAATCTCGACAGAAAAGGTTCAAGTAATTGGAGCAAAAGGGGAACCCTTTGGGGTCCCTGTTATCAAAGAGGTGTTAATTGAATCGGATTCTAAATTAGGGGTGGGATCCTTACTCTTAGCGCCTGAGGCAGAATATAACTTGTTAGGGAGAGACTTAATAGTAGAATTAGGCATAAGTTTAGAGGTAGTAGATAAAGAGCTAAAAATTATGTTGTGTCCTCTGAGAGCGGAGGATGAGCAAAGTATAAATCCTGAAGTCTGGTACACTCCAGAAAGTGTAGGAAGATTAGATATTAAACCTTTTAAGGTAGCTATAACCAACCCGGGTGTACCAACGAGAATTAAACAATACCCCCTGTCTGAGGAAGGCAGACAAGGGTTAAAACCTGAAATTCAAAGGTTATTACAACAAGGGTTGCTAGAACCTTATACGTCCCCGTTTAATACTCCAATATTACCAGTGAAAAAGAAAGATGGCAAATATAGATTGGTACATGATCTAAGAGAAATTAATAAGAGAACCGTGACCAGATTTCCTGTTGTGGCAAATCCCCATACCCTATTAGGTCAATTGCACCCAGATGGTCAGTGGTATAGCGTAGTGGATTTAAAGGATGCATTTTGGGCATGTCCTCTGGAGGAAGGTAGTAGGGATTATTTTGCCTTTGAATGGGAAGACCCAGATACCCACTGAAAGCAGCAATTACGGTGGACTGTCCTTCCTCAAGGATTCACTGAATCACCTAATTTATTTGGACAAGCCCTGGAGCAAATTTTACAAAACTACAATAAGCCACCAGGAGTAACATTAGTACAGTATGTAGATGATTTGTTATTAGCAGGGAGAAACGAAGATACTGTTAGGCAGGCCAGCATACAGCTGTTGAATTTTCTTAGCTTGCAGGGACTGCAAGTCTCGAAATCGAAGCTGCAGTTTGTAGAACAAGAGGTAAAATACTTGGGCCACCGACTAAGTGAGGGAGCTAAGAAATTAGACCCAGACAGAATCAGTGGGATATTGGCTTTAACGACCCCACGAAGTAAGAGGCAGGTACGACAATTATTAGGGTTGACTGGCTATTGTAGACAATGGATTGAAGATTACAGTGGCAAAGTTAAATTTCTTTATAAAAAATTGACTAAGGATGGGTTGCTAAAATGGACCAAAGAAGATGAAAAACAATTAGAAAAATTAAAAGAAGAATTAGCACGCCCTCCGGTGTTGAGTCTTCCGGATTTGAGGAGACCGTTTTTCTTATTTGTTAACAGCAATGAGGGCACTGCATATGGATTATTAGCCCAAGAATGGGCAGGGAGTTAAAAACCTGTGGCTTACCTATCCAAATTGCTGGACCCAGTTAGTCGGGGCTGGCCAAGTTGTTTACAGGTAGTAGTAGCCCTGCTTTATTAGTAGAAGAAGCACAGAAAATTACCTTCGGAGGAGAAATCAAGGTGATATCCCCACACAATATCCGGGGAGTACTACAGCAAAAAGCAGAAAAATGGATCACAGATGCTAGGTTACTAAAATATGAAGGAATTTTAATTTCCTCCCTAAAACTAACATTAACAACAACTTCCCTGCAAAATCCTGCTCAGTTTCTTTATGGGGAACCGAACTAGCCCTTAGAACATGATTGCCTCCAAAATATAGAAGAGCAAACAAAATTGAGACCTGATTTGGAGGAAGAAGAGTTACTTATAGGGGAACAGATATATGTAGATGGTTCTTCACGAATAGTGGAAGGGAAACGGAAATCGGGGTACGCCTTAGTGAATGGGAAAACTTGAAATAATTGAATCCGGACCTTTAAGTCCAAGTTGGTCTGCCCAGGCTTGTGAATTATATGCTGTACTACAGGCCTTAAGACTGTTAAAGGGCAAAAGTGGCACAATATATAAAGATTCAAAATATGCATACGGGGTATTACATACATTTGGTAAAATATGGGAAGAGCGAGGGCTCGTTAATTCACAGGGAAAGGGATTAGTACACCAAGAACTGATTACCCAAGTCTTACAGGCTATCAGAGGACCTAAAGAAATTGCTGTAGTACACGTTAAAGGACACCAGCGAATTATAAAAACAAGGGAAGACTGCTCAGACTGCAGGAATGATTCAATGAAATTTCCATGCTATGATTATGAATGGGGGGACAGGAAGAAATACACACATTGTTACCATCATAGGCCAATTTATACTCTGCTTAGCTTCACATTACAAGAAAAAAGCAAAATGATTCAAATGGGGATAAAAGAAACAGATAAAGGCAAATGGGTGCTGCCTGATGGACGGGGAATGCTTTCAAAATCCGCAGCTCTGAGGGTATTACAAAGGTTTCACGAAAACACCCACTGGGGAACTCAAGCATTGGTGGATCAATTTGCAATAAAGTATATGTGTATTGAAATTTATAATATAGCAAAACGAA